AATGCAGTGCACTGGGGCCTGCGTTCCCAGACCTTTGTTGGTCCACCACTGGGATCAGAATCACAGAATCATAGAATTGTCTAGGTTGGAAGGGACCTTTAAGATCATCTAGTCCATCCATCAACCTAGCCCTGATAAAAAATCATCACTAAACCATGTCACTAAGCACTGTGTCGATCTATCTTTTAAATGCCGTCATGGATTTTGCCTAAACCACTTCTCTGGGCAGCCCATTCCAATGCTTAATACCCCTTCCAGTGTAAAAATTTTTCCTAATATCCAATCTGAATCTCCCTTGGCACAACTGGAGGCCATAATTCACACAGGTTTAACTCAGGACAGCAAATCTGGATAAAAGGAGTTGACAAAAAAAGCCCAGAGCCTTCCTTAGGTGTTTGGCTCCCAGTGCAGGTGACAAATTATCCAATCTCTGTGCAACCAGGACGAGACTCCAAAAGGTAGGGTAGGAGCTGACCTGTAAGGAATCATTTCATCCCATGAGGGTGCTGAGCAGAGATGGAAGAAAAAGGGATCAGATCCCTTTGAAAGAGATCACTTCCAATAATGCAACCCTGAATTACCCAGTTTCTACCGTACACAAAGAGCAATAACAGACAGACTCCTGTGCATGCAGCATCCATAAAGGCCAATTATGCAGATACAGCCAAGATGGCAATTTTAGAGGGACGAATTACCAATGATCAACAACAAATGAGTAAAAATCTGCTGGCAGACATGACCAGATTTAATTACTAGCAATGATCAAGCCATAAGCAGAACAAAAATACATTGGAAAAGTCTGACAATTATACATTTATTCCAATTTATACAGACATTGCACATCTATCCACTCAAAATATTTTCTAACAGCCTTTCAATTTATACTCCTGAAAGTAATTTTTCACTCCTTCTAAAAGACTCTGTGTAGGGATATTTTTGTCGTGTAACTACAAAACCACTCACACATTGTAACCAGATGTCATTCTCAACTACACAAAATCAAGGACTAAAGCCCAACACCAACGCTCAAACTTACCAAGTTCTCCCCTTTGATTCCGAGCGCTACTTTGGCTTGGAATGATACCTACCACTTCCAGGTTTTAATTTATTTACTTATTCAGCTACCCTCCTTCAAACAAAAGTGGCTGAAAATACACAACCCCGTTTCTGCAGAGAGCTTCTCTGGCATAATTGAAGAAGATGCTCCAAAGAAGTTGGCTTTTTTCAAAAGTAATTCACTTCCCTGCTCATATAACCCAACATCTGTCTCCTCCTCTCCAGAGGAATGTCTGAACCTTAGGGAGAACAAATTGCTTTCAGTCAATGTGGCCCCTTGAACGTTTTGATCCAGCTGAGGTGAGAAAAATAACTATATGCCAACAAGCACAGACTGCTCAGATACAGAGATGGACGTATCAGCTCTCGTGAAATGGACTGCTTATATCACAGCTTGTCTGCAGCACAAAGGCCAACAGCAAGTACGCTGTATAGTCTTTCACAAACGTTGAGCCTGACTTTCCCTGCCTTGTTCTCTCTGAATGACAGGAAAACAAGTGGAAAAAAAGCACCGAAGACCTGACCTGGTGGCCTTTGCCAGCCATTTTGCAGAAGAGGAGTTGACTGGAGAAGCAGAAGGTGGAAAAGGCTGGGTCTCACCTGGAGCACCCAGCCAGGAGGATAACGTTCATCACTTGCATGATACTGCTCAGCTGGTACAAGTGTTCGTATGAACTCTCCTACAGCTGTCAACAGCCTGTGACTTCTACTACCCAGCAAGGAAAATAAGCTTTATGCTGGTAGACCTACGTCTGCCCCAGTTACACCAGTGAAACATCTGGGCCAGCTGAGAGAGTGGGCTTGGCGTGGGGTGTTTGAAAATCCCACTGTCAGTCTCTCGGGAAGCGAGAGCTGTTGATAAAAGGCAATGCAATTACTGGCGCTGGGTTGTATTAAGATAACAGCATAAAAACTTAACATTCCCCAGAAGAAATAAAGGTGTTAAAATAGCAGCTGGGTAAATACAAGATAATGAAAGAAAGCAGCGTGATTTCCCCAGGTTCAAATAAAGCCGACGAGTATTTTGTAGGATTGACCTTATTAAAGAGACATTGTCACTTCAAAAATTAATCCAAACCCAAAATTACAATAGCAGTAAGTGAAGATAAACTTACCTGTTAAACATAACAATTAATTCCACAAAAGCATTAACCTTTTAACTTCCATTTTTACATTTTTCTGTAGCGAAGTGCTAGGTCCATGTATGTATTTTTAATTTTCTTTACAACTGATTGACTTTTTGACACAATGTTGAAAGTCTCTACCAGAAGATCCAGTCATTCATTCTTTGTATTAATTATTCTTCATTAGGCTTAGCATGTGTATTCTACTTTATAATAAATTAATACATAATACTGAGGAGAGGAAATGAAATAGAGACTCATTGTAGGAAATCTCAAGTCATTTCATGGAAACGTTTTCATCTCAGTTGCTGCAGAATAACATTTTGTGTACATCTTCCCTAAGATGTTTTTCCCCATGTGGGATCTTTTTTATTAAAAACCTTAAAAAATTAAAAAAAAACACTTTCAAAATTAAATCTTTTAAATAAAATCTTGATCATAGAGTTACACTAAACAATTGAGTGAGCAGCACATCTCGCATGCTAATCCAGTTTCTGTCTCTGACATGCCAAGCCAGAAACGTGGCAAGGAGAATAAACAACCTTTTAAAATCTTATTCTTTCTAGAGGGAACTATGCAGGCTTCACGCTGTTCTCTATGACACTGTAATTTTTGTTTCAACCTCCATTAAGAGATGTAGCAAAGAATCTCATTATTCAAATTAATTAGACTTCAGTAAATGCATTCATGAGGAAACTACAATGTACAACATGAACGACAGGATCATAATATGACACAGCAGAAAACCTGGTGAATAACTAATTACTCCACTGCTAATAGTTGCACAGGTCCAGAAGCATACTGATTCTGTTTCAATCTATGGACACTGAGGACCCTAACAATTTTAAATGTTCCAGCAAGTGCCCATTTAATGTTAAAAGGACTAAATTATTTTAAAATAATTTTATTCGAGTCTTTATATGGCTCTAGCATTTTCTCCCCTACCGATGCATATCTCTGCTTTGACAAACAGGACGTGGTCCTTCATGAGGGATAATACCATGAGCAGAAAGCTGGGCTAGTGATAATGCCGAGGAGCCTCCAGAAAATCCTGAACTGGGAGCCAGGCAGTGCCCTGGGCAGGAGGGATACGCTTAGAGTCAGAGCACAAGAGAACATTATTGAAGTGCACGTTGAAGAAATGATAACAAAACCCCACCGTTTATTAGTCCAGTGTGGAGAATAGTTCCTTCAATAAACGGTACCATTGTCAGTAAGTCAGTTTTCCCTGGGCGGATTAAAGCATCACTGCCCAAGGACAGTTACTTTTGTCTGTTCTTTGAGCATTTTGGCTCCTTGGTCAATGGCTTCAGGTTGAGGGGAGACAACACCCGCAGCTGAGATGCAAGTACATTGTCAACAGTCAGGGACAAGACGAGAATTAATGAACTTTCCGGGGAACACAATTAATTATGGGATTAATTAGAGGGTTCTTCATTTCAGTTAAAGGCATTTTTCACCCACGTAGAAACCAACAGGAAGAGCTGCTAAACAAGTGAGGTGTTTCTTTGAAGTCTCAATTCTACAATAAGCCTGATATTAGCACCCTTACCAGATACTTTTATCCTTTTAATTTGGCTACATCTGTTTAAAATAGGAGATTCAGCCAGACTATAAGGTGTCCCTTTCTGATGTTAATTATGTGAGATTGAAGAACAACTTGCCCCATGTGGATCATGTTCAATATCCTGAAGAATCTGGCCTTATATAACTTATTTTATTGATGACTATGAAGCTAATTGTGCTTAATTTGAATGGCTTGTCATTCTTTCATATGACACAAGAGATGTTAAGATCTAGACATTTCTTTTGGATATGTATTGCACGATATGGAAACTGATTCATCGCAGGGCATGACTTTCCCTACTGAGCTGCTTCAAATTTGTGATGAGCTGCAAGAGAGCTACCAATCAGCTCTGTGTTATTAGAAATACAGATTATCTGTTAAGGATAATAAATTGATATTGCAACCAACATTCAGATTTTCTTTCATAAGGCACAAGAGATGTTAAGATCTAGACGTTTCTTTTGGATATGTATTGCATGATATGAAACTGATTCATAGAAGGGCATGACTTTCCCTGCTAGCATACTTACAATCACTGAGCTGCTTCAAATTTGAGATGAGCTGCAAGAGAGTTACCAATCAGCTTTGTATTATTAGAAATACAGATTATCTGTTAAGGCTAATAAATTGATATTGCAACCAACATTCAGATGTTGCTTTGTATTATTGTAACTGATTAAAGCTATTGGCCCCAATGTCTTACCTGTGATTAGTACTGTCATTTCCCTTTTATATTATAACACTCTGGGCTTGTGAAGAAATTTTGGAAGAGACTCGTATTCAAGAGAGGGTACTTCAGTTCCCAAGCGCTCCTTGCAGACCCCAGCACAGCTCAGCTTTTCCTGTTGGCTTTTCTTGCACTGGGACAAACCCCTTTCTGAAACACCTGAGTCTCCTCTGATACAACACAACCTACCTCCAAGGCAGGACAGACCTTCACCTACCCACACCTGGGGGATGATAGACCAGAGGCATGAAAACACAGTGACTCTGAAATCCCACCACCCTGACGGGCTCCTCTTTCTTTGAGAGCAACAACTTCTATGAAAAGTCTGGAGAATGCAATCAAAAAATAATTAGGATTATCAGGCTAATTACTGAATACATTTTCTAATGCTAATAGCATTAGATATGAAACACTAATTGTTGTTTACTGTGGGATGAATACTTAAACTTGTCAAGAGAAGTGGGGAAAAAATATGTTTTTTTCCACTTAGAAGAGATGCCTACTGCAGACACATGTACATTGTAACATTTTTATTTTTATAATGAAATTGGCACCCTAGTAATAAAAAGAACCACAAACTCCATGCGTGAAAAATTGCAAAATATATGATCACAGTACCCTTAGAGCATAACATTTAAATGCAGTTCAAAAAAATTTCAAAACAGGCTTGAATATCATGAAATATTAATAAATATCTGTGTTTCTTTAATTAGCCTTTTCCTGTTCCTGTTTTTAGAGTTCATACTTAACAGGCTGTTTTCTGTCAACTAGAAAGGTTTAGAAATGAACTCTTTTTGAAATATAAAATTACATTCTCATCAATTTAGAGAAATCTGGGAATAAGAACTTCAAAAATACACACCTAAAATTGTGGCAAGTGGCAGTATTGCAATCAAAAAAGCTTTTGAAGGTATTACATGCCCATTTACAATTTTCCCTTTTCTGCTGAGCAAGTGTGAACATTGGTTCCCCAAGAAAAAGATTGCATTAAGTTGCAAATATTTAGTACACTTTTCAACTGCAGCCACATTCATAGTTCAACTGAAGTAATTTTAGAAAGAATAGCGAAAAGCTGAAGTGACTCCAGGCTGTAAGGCTTAGTTCGTGTGTATATGCTGAATATCTGGACTATGAGCTATCATTGTAGAACACAGACTGCAGAAGCAACCCTCAAAGCCTATAAGGAACACAATATTAAACAGTAAATTAGCTAGAATAACAGAAAATCAGAGAACAGAGGACTTGTGGGTCATCCACTTCATCTCTTCATGCCATCTGCTATACCGTAGCTTATTACAAGAATACATAAATACAAGAATAGTAAATCAGTACTTACTTTATATAATAAATAGCCTTCCTATAAATAATGAAAATACAGCTACAGTAAAATCAGTGCAAAAATGATGAAAATGTACTGAAAGAACAGTCCTGCCTGCCAGAAAGTGCGTCATAAAACATCCATATTTCATCTACTGCATCATACGCTGACAAGAATTAAAAAATGCACAATGCACGTTGCTAACTGCGGCGTTCTAAAATTACAGCTATTTACAATGTCAGACAAATGAGATTAAAACAATGTACGTGTTATTTAAACTGCACACTTCATTCTTTCTCATTATTTTGCTGAATTTTAAATAACTTCCTCTTCCCTAATTGATACTTTGGAATGGAAGTCGCCCTCACGAGTCCATATTTGCATGAGCAGCCTTTTTGGAATTCAGAAAGTTCTTTTTCTTTTTCCTGGGAGAATTATGCAAAGAAAGTATTGGATGACTCAGCTCACGGAACACCACCACCTTCTCCCCTGTGTCTAATAGCTCTATGGCTTCTGCAGCTGCAATGTTCAAGGGAACAGGAGGGTCAGACTGTTCCATAGGAGGACGTGTAGGCAAACATCCAAGATGAAGGAATGAGGCTTCTTCCAAGAGGGCAAGTTGCTTCTTCTTTACCAAGCTACATTAATGAAAAAAATTGAATTGGAAAATGAATACTTGGGCAAAAAAAGTATAACTTTCTATGTCATATCCTGACCTAGAAGTGGTGACTTCGGAAGCTAAAGAAATTCATATTTCAATAGACAGAACTGCAATTTGCATTCCAGTCCCTGATAATTTACATATAATTTTATGAGATACTAAATTGCATAAGGAAAGGAATCTTAAAATAAATACCCATACGGAAGATGGGCAATTTATAGGAAAAATGTGTGAATTTTGTGGATATGTATGGAAAAAAAATCTTTTTAGGCATACTATTACTGCTTATTATGTGCAAATACATTACAGCAAAACACAAGCACCAAACAGCAGAAGTGTCAGAAAATGCATAGTTATGAACTCATTTTCTGATTTCTAACAGAGGAACCTTTGGAGATGAAATGAAACATAAAAAAACCCCATATATATATTTCTTCCTGTTTTCTCCTTACCTGTCTTTTCTCTTGTTTAGAGAAGGGAACTTTTCCAAACTTCTGTTTATGAGATCTTGCCTTACTTTGTCCTCCAGTGTTTGCCACAACTCCTGGTTCTTCCTGAAGGAGCAGGAAAGAAAAAGATTCCCAGCAGAAGGTTCCCAAATATACACACTTTCCTCCCCTTTCTGATTTTAGCTACCAAACCCACGACAGCAATACCATGAATACAAACAATAATAGCATTCAAGGATTTTTCCTGCCCTGCCACAAATCACGTAAATCACATCTCAGGGCATTGTCCCAAGGACACTTTTCTGTTCCTTGACAACTCGTATCTGACACAGCATCTGCTTTTCTCTCCTTCCCATGTCATGGCAGGGAGTTTGGAGAAAGGGTCCATGAGCATCTCTCATAAACAGTGGAATGAACGCTCTGGGAGATTATCCATCTCTGAGAGTAAAGGGAAAAAAAGTCCCACTTGGTACTTTAGGAATGAACTACCAAGGGACAGGCATCTGCAAGGTTGAAACTTCCATTATTAGAAATGAGGATCTCCTTTATATCTTTAGGAGCTACAGACATCTGAAATCTGTTGTGCTATGAATATTATTAAGCTGGAAGGAAAATATTTTAATAAAATCCAATTAAAGTCAGCAGAAAATTATCAGAACGAGATGTATACATTTATAAAATAACCATTTAATTATTAACTATCAATCAATTTATTATAGTAAAAATACTTCACAAAATAAGGTAGCAGCTTCTAAGTATTTTTACTCCACAAACTTATTTCAAAAGGAAACTTATTCACCTGTGATTTTTCTATCGCTGTCAATCTGCTTGTCCAGCAAATACATATACATTTAAAGCAATAACCTTTTCTTGCAGTGTTTTACCACAAAACCACCACACCTACCTTTTCTTACAGCTGCCAGACTCATCTGCATTACTGTCACTTTCAGCAACACCATCTGAATATTTACTGATGGAATTGAGGACAGAAAGAACCTCACTTTGTGAGCTGGAGGGCAGCAACAAATTCAGGATCCTATGCAACATCCCCATTGGTACCCTCATGAGTTTAGCTAAATAACCTGCCAGACGGAGCTCCTAGAGAATTAACGAGAAGATGACAGATAAATTTAGCACTGAAAATAAAAAAAAAAAAGTGATAGTGAATTTTAATTACTATCATTAAAGAATTGTTCATTATAGAAACAAAAGATATTTTTGAAAATCATGTTAGTAGCGACAGTTTTGGTTTCAAGTGGACACAGAATCCTACAACGGTTTGGGTTGGAAGGGACCTTAAAGATCATCTAGTGCCAACACAGTCCCATGTTCACTGTTTCTGTCCACAATGGCCCATATATATTAGTTGTACATTTCATTCTAGATACAGGCAATGTAAACATTAACCAACCAGTTGATCTTAGTGTATGTGCTTTATATTCCAGCATGAAAAGTTGAGTTAATTTACAGACTGTACTATTATAAAGAAATCTTTTCAAGATATCAATGAAGCGATATGGCATTCCTTGGTCTGTAAAATTTGGGGGAAAAAAGTAGCCTCTGAAACCTAATGACAACATTTACATGTTGCCATGGTTGAGCACTTCATCACTGAACCTCTCTTAACACCAGATTCTGTGATGAGCTCAGAGAACAGCTTGTAACATTTGTTAAGGGGTGAAGGAAACATCTGCTTTTGTTTCGGTGTTTTATTTTCTTTCCAAATGCCCCCTCTGTTTTGGCCTAAAGGTCAGTGGTAAAGCATATTCACATGGTGTTCAAATAGACTAAGTTCAAATTTAGTTGTTCCCTAGACAATCAACCAGCCCCATTTCCTGCCCCCCCTCCAAACACCAAAATTCTGTTCTTATTTTCTGCTCTGTTGTCAAAACATGTCCCCAGGGCTGTTCCAGTGGATTTCTCATGCGTATCAAATATGAAAAGTCTACAATATATTGAGAACTACATGGAAAGAAAAGAGTAGAGCAAATTAAAGCAAGTTACATGCCTCAAAGGACGCCAGAAAAAAAAGCTGTTGTAGTCTGTTAAAACCATACTTGTATCTCAGGTAGCTGAAGTTAGGCAAGATGTGCAAAACGTTTGAGATAACTCGTGGCAGCTGAGCTGCTCAGTAGATCCTCCAAAAACCATTGACGGGGGAGATAACTACAAAGCCCACGTCACATAAAAAAACCACAAGGTCCCACCACACAGGAAGACAGCCAATTTCTTTGTCCACAGTAGATTCAAAATGTCACAGCAAATACCTGAACTCTGCCTCTTTTTTCACGATGAATTTTCAGGGAGTGAATGCAATGCACCTAGGAGATCCCTGTATTAAGTGAATCTTCTTTGAAAGAAACCATTTCACTATAAGGATGCTCTGTAAAGGACAATTCTTTCTGCTAAATCCATGTTAAAAGAAACAAAGCAATCACCCCCAAAGCAGCCCTAACCCAAATTCGGATGGCCACACACATTTGGATGGCTGTCAGCTCTATTTCTCATCCCAAATCCAAAACAGCACTATACCAGCTGCTAGTAAAAAAGTTAACTCTATCCCAACTGAAATCATGACATCAATAACCTCCCTTTCCCATAACCCCTCTCCAAGCAGAGAACTCTATTCCAAAAGGAAGGAAAACTACTCACTTCCCAAAGTTTCTTGGGCTCTTCAGTGTTGTTATAGGTTTTCCGTGGAAACCACCAAGGTACCAGAATGAACAACACAAAATCCAAAGACTGATAATTAGTATCTAAGAAGTCCAATATTTTTTACCCTAAACAGACACCAAAGTTAGGTAAAAGATATGTCTGTTGGGGCTACTTAGGGAAAGAAATTATTTTATTCTTCTCTGGAAAGGGATGTAAATAAAAGCTTAAATCTTAATACAGATACCTAAGTTGAATTTCTCTATTTCTATACAGACTGTGTTGTACTCTTGCTCTTTAAAAACTTGTCTAGAAATTTACAAAAGAACAACATTAAGTGAGAATAAGAATGACACATCTCTGTGATCGATTCTGCCCTTTTTGGCTAAATAGTCTCCGGACCTTTAACTCAGTAATTTATACACGGATGATTGAAACATCATGACTTCAGTACTGCTTTCCTCTGTAATAGTTTCCTCTAAAATGTTCTTTTCTCCACTCTGAACCTTATCTTTCTGCACCAAGTATGATTTGGACTGAGAGGCAACCCTTGATGCTTTTCTAACAGCAGAATTCACGATTAAGTAATCCTACAAGGTACCACAATGCTGTCAACAGCACCAAAAGCGGCAGAGGTGGCCATCGGGCAGGTGCCTCTGACATCTGCAATGCAAAGGGAGTGCTGATGTGTGAACAGGCACCAGCAGTGAGCAGCGCTGCCAGATGTTCACAGCTACCCTGACCAGCCTGCAGAAGAGAGAAGGAGAAGCGAATGTGCATGCAAACACAGGAATGGTCACACTAGTTAAAGCAGAAGCCCTCCAGGGTGGGCTGAATTTGATTCTTCAGGTATATTATACGGTACGGTACCACAAAGATTAGGAATTCACTTTTTTCATAACACCTAATGGATATAAATGATACTTGCGCCACCAATAACCTCATCTGTGTTCACAGAATCACAGAATTATCTAGGCTGGAAGAGACCCTCGGGATCATCGAGTCCAGCCATCCACCCTACTCTAAAGTACTCCCCTACACCATATCCCCCAACACCACATCTAAACGGTTCTCTGAATTTGGTCAAAATAAACATAGGAATGAACTGCAGTTTACAAACAGCAGAATTACTTTGAAGTATTCGGCCTGAGCAATGTTTACTTAAACAACTAATGAATCAATGAACCCAATCCATGCTGTGTTTCCAGTTTACTGTGCTGCTTCCACATGACAGTCTCTAAAATGCAACCAGTGTTCCTGGGGCTATAGCTATAAGGTTATTTAAAAGTATCTTCACAGGCTTATGATCCTGAACTCAATATCATTCAAGCAAGTCTCTTATTGAACTAGATCTTCCTCGATAAGGATGTCAGCTGAAACAGGAGATGTAGGAAAGCAAACCCAAAATCTGGTTTTCCAGAGTGGGCAGCATCCACTGTTCTGAAAACTAGTCTAAAGAGGAAAATCTTTCTTTAAGGAAAAGAATGAGTGAAGACACAGAGCCATAATAGCTACAGTTTCCTAATACTTGTCAATGTAACATGTTCTGTAAATTGTAAGAAAACAGGGGGGGAAAGACTTTAAAAAATCAGTTCCCATATCAGCTCACAGGATAAGCACATCCAGAAGTAGGAACATGTTACACTGTGAGCCTTAATAAATTACTCTTCTACTAAGCACATACTTCTTTACAGTTGAATTAAGAGTAGTCAGGTTTGGAATTATAGTTGGAATTATTATACCATTATACTTGCTGAGAACAGAAATTGCGTTTTGTACGTCTGCAGGGTAAATATGTATAGGTTATATGGAATTGCAATAAAGTATGTCCCAGAATATCTCTGGGCTACACTTTATATGAATAAATATAAACACAAAAACCCCAGTGGTATATCTAATGCATATTTACACAAATTAATTATTTCTTCAGGGAATCTTATGAACAAAACATAAAGCACAGTCCCCAAGTAAACACTAACAGTGCATCCACTTTTTCAAGTGCAGTGAGGTGACTGATGCTCTTAAATCTCCGTCTTCAAGATGTCAAAATCTATAATTATCAAAAGTCATCATTCACCTGCTTAGGGTGCTAAGAGGATTGGGCACTGTGAAAATTATGACGTATTCTATTTGCATGCATTTGTAATCTGCAAAACAATGATTTTAACCTCTCAACTTGCAGAATACATGAAATGCTGTTCAGAAGCTCTTTCACAATGTATCTGTGCCAAAGAAACTTAACAACCATCACAGAAAGACAATTAAATTGTCATCAACTTAAGGAACATGCTTTACATACACTGTAGAAAAGCAATATCCAGCTTCCCTCCCAGACAAGTGGTATCATCTTGGGGAATACAGAACAAGGAGCATCAGTATTTAATTATGAAACTTTCTAGGACCAAAATGAGCCACAATAACATGCAAAACAACTGTATTCCTGGTTAGTCCTGTGAGGTCGAACGATAAATATGACTAACACTTCCAAAAGAAAAAGAGCACTCTCTTTGAACTAAAATGATAAGAAAAGAGCTGAGCTCTCTTGGGATAGGGTGCAGCCAGCAGCAGCAGCATTCAGTCGCCAGGTCTGTCTCTCTTTGCTCCCACCAAGTCCTACACAGCTGCTTCAGTGTACATCTTAACACGCCACACATCTTGAATTCAGGCCTTCATGAGGGTGATAGATTCTAAGACTCTGTCAGAGGCAACCGAACTTAAGAGCATCACAAAAACATTTCACAATATCCTTTGGAAGATAAAAACTCTTCTTCTGAGAAGCTGGTTGTTACACGCATCTTCTTCCCTTCTATGCCCAGGAGTATGGCAAGCTAAGAACCACTGTATGAGATTAATGCAGTTTTCGTGCTATATTTTAAGAGTTCCCACTTAGCAGTGACTGTTTTTGCCAGCTTTTGAAATTGCTAAATAAACACTGTACAAGGTCTTTTCAATTAGTCCAAGATTGGAGGGCAATAGCAGATTTAAAAGCATTGAAATGAAACTATGATAATGGTCTCAGTAGTGCTAATCTGGAGGAGTTGGTCTGTGCTGTTTAAAGCCTTTATAATGGCCAGCATTTCTAGATGCAACATATTTTGTCAGATAAATATATAATGAACTAGGAAAAAAAATAACCCAAAAGTATAAAAAGAATTCGCAAGACTACGGTACACCACATCCAATGACTTAAACTACAGCAGTACAGCAAGAGATCAGCAAAGCCCAAAGGACCTTTCAAAGCATTTTCAATTTTTGTATCTGTTCTACTGTTTGTTTTCCACTAATGTTGAACGGAGTTTATTTTATCCAAGACTCATTTTATATTTATCACATTCAACATGTATCTGAAGCACTGTATGTTTCAGCAAAATATTCACACGAGCCTTTTATCTCCTTACCTGTTTTACAAAAAAAAAAAAAAAGGAATGTTGAACAGTAAAAAAGATCATCCTTTCTCCTAGAAAAGTGTTCTGAAATCTTGAGCTATTAGACAAACTGCAACTATAAATGGCAAATAAAGCCCCAAATTTAATACTGCCTCTGAAAAGCGTTATATAGCTGTTACTGCCCGCATCACCATTCTACAACTGAACAAATAACTGAAAATAGTGGGTAACTCCCTCATCAGCATTATGCAAGTTATTTTAAAGAAGCATAAATGAATACATATAATGTCTAAAGTTACAAGGAAATAACCAGGTTAAAACTCACCATCAAGTGATTATTTACAACGTAAGCACCCTACAAAGGCCTGCAGCAGAAATTTTTATCAATGTCAGCAGGATGCTACTTCTGTGAAGTCCAAATAAATGACTAGGAGCTCTGTGTGCAGCAGGCCATGGGGGCACAAAACAGTGAGAAGGAACTGAAGGCTGGAAGAGAATTCAGCAGCTCCTGACAGCCACATCCCCTTACAATACCCCAAACTGTCAAGGCCAACAGGGTAGCAAGCTGGTTTTAAAAAAAAACAAAACAGTTGCAACAAGAGGCAGGGGAGGAAATCAAAGAGGATAATAATAATACTAAAGAAATCTCAAACTCTAAGGGAACACATAGCTTGGATTTAAAACTGGAAGGCTGGATAATGCTGGTCACGACCTCCTAAGCAAATACCTTCAAATGTTACACTCGGCAAGACACACCAGAATCGTGTTTTGGTGTTTATATTATTATGCCCAAAGTATAGGATGCTCTTGGAAAGCGTTGAGGTGAGGTTGGAATTCCCACTCTGCCTGATTTAATTCATTAGCAGAAAGTGAGATCTTCCATTCAAGGACAACACCTTATCCACCAGGTCGTCAGATATTCAGATGTAAGTTTCTTCCAAAAAGGCTCATGGAAAGACTTCGCTCTGAATGGAGCCCGAGTGTCCCCACGAGAGGCAGAGACTGAAGCGTTTATCACGCTTCTGGGAGCTTCAGGAGATCGTGATGCAAACTCTTTACCCAAATCAGAGCAAGGATCTGAAAACATGTGCTGCCTTCCAGGTGAATCTCCCAGCACAGATATAATATACGGGACTCTCACTCCAGTTCTTCACAAGAGCAGCTGACCTCAAACAGACATCTAATTCAGGAGAGGAAAAAGAGTTCAGAAAACTGAACAGAAATAAGCTAAAGCACAGGAAAAGCTGAGAGACCCTTAGTCTAAGTGGTCCCTTCCTTTGCTTGCTGACCTCTGAAGCTCCCAATTTACGATACAGGGGATTGTGACCCCACTTGTCTCTGAGAGGCAAGATACCTGGATGCAAAAAGCTGCAACACCAAGTCTCTTTCTGACACTGGCTACATATCTCGACCAAGGCCTGCAGATAAAACTTGGGGACAGCAGCGATTCATTTTTAATGCTTTTTGTGGGACTGATAGCAGCAAATTACCTGAAGAGGTGATGCTCTTTTAGAAAACCACGTGAGTAATGATAACTAGAAAATTGAACTAGCAGTCCTTCTGTCTTTTAGTTTTGTAACAGAATAAACACAAATAATTCCTAGTGCTGATTAAAACCTAAACAAAACCCTTGTCTCATTACATGAAAAATCAGCCTGTACATCTGTCTGTAAACGAAAAACTCAGGCAATTTAGCTCTCCACAGAATCAAATGCAACAGGACAAACCCTGGAAAGCATTTGTAAGTGAACCAAGAGAAGTTTAACTCAGTAAAATTCAAAAGGCTGAAAGTAGGTCAGAATTAACTAAAGTGAATGATAACACAGGCTGCAAACGCCACAACTAGTAGCAACTATTAGCAGATAGTCACTCCAAATGCAGCTTTAATCGTTCCTAAAAAAGAAGAAAAGCTGATTTCCACAGATATAGCTGTAATTTAAACCTGGAAGCTTTGTTCAATTTCATGCTTACCTGACTATAAAGTGCCAAAAATGCATCCATTTCTATATTTTCCAGGAGATCTTCAAGCACCACGCAATTCCATTGCTCATCTCTCAGACTGAAGTGAAAGACAGAATTAACATTGAAATCTTCTCAGGCGCAATGACTGTATTATAGGAACAATATCTGAAAGTTGTCCATTCAGGAAGTGTATCTTTCTGTCAGCAAAGCTGAGTGAGCAGTGTAACTTCTAAAATAAGCCATTTTCTCCTCCCTTTTCCCCTGAACCACCAAGCAAACACCAGAGCAGAAACTAAGATTACGCTCTTGCACACAATTCAAATCTAGAATCACTCCAAAGCAAAGTGATTCAACCTGTCCCCATCCTCCTTTTTGAATTTCATCACCACACTTCATGGCAAATTGTGGATCTTTTTGTGACTGGAATATAGTAGTAAACAGTTAACTTCCTCACTACTGGTGATTTTTTGTGTTTCTGGACCAAATCATAGAGCCACCCTCGTGTTGTTTGGCAAAAGCACAAAACTTGTTTCTTCCATTAATTTTTCAGATAAATAGTAAAGACTAGTTGCAGTTTCTTTGAAGCCTTCACCGATACATCTCTACAGTTGCATCCACAGGCCAGTAACCCATCTGCTCTTCTAGTGACTCTCTACTTCTGCAATAGAAGAGTCCTTAATCTACATTGAGAACTCCAGCCCTTTCGGAATTCAGACTTAAGAGTGCAGCAATTCCACTCAAGGCCTATCAAAGCCATTGTAAATATATCAATTGTTTCATGGAAAACCCTTTTTGTAATGGAAAGAACCCTCATCTTGCATGAGCCTTGAAATGTGGTAGGCTTTTAATATTGTGCAACACACATGGAAATGTAATTTATAACTCCTGTAACCCTAATGAATTTTGCAAATTATCATCCATTTTTGCTAGGCAACCTTCAAAACAAGAGAGACACTTGATACTTCTATATACCTCCCAAGAGGCGCTTTTTTTTTTTTTTGTCACCAATATCTTTACTTAAAAACTGGCCAGGGAAAAGTGAAATGAGCCTGTTTCTGATAAAGAGTTTACATATCCCACCAAAAATGATTGCATGACAGGGAATTCAGTCTACAGTGTGACAGTGGAAATGGAAATTCAATTTAAATTGGCTTAGGTACTTCCTGTGACCCCAGCAGATCAGGTTCCACTGAAGTCCTTACCTATCTTCTTGGGAGACGAAGGAACAGGACTAAAATTCTTTTCCTCCTTACAGCTAAGGAGTACTGTTATTTTTCCACTGTTCCCCTCAAGAAACAGTGATTGCCATGCAGTATATTACAATCTATATGTAACTAAACTATTATTATTTCATGTTTCTTATTTCAGTATTTCCTCAATTCAAGACTCCTCAGTTACGCTCTGGGCCACATCACAAAAATGCACTGTTCAAACATAGATGTATAGTTCCTCCTCAACACAGCAGAGCATTCAGCCTACTGTTTCTCTCTGATATCTTATGGTCTATGCAGTAACCTAGTAAAACCAAAGATCAAAGAACTTACCTTTGCTGGTGCAGATTTATAAATTGCCCACATTTACTCATGGCCTGTCTTAGCAGAACTGTCACCTGTCTGTCTGCATTTGTTTCCACAGCTTCACTCAAAAGTCCAAATCCATCTGGGGTCCACCTCTGCCTGCTCGTTAGATGCTGCTGCCTCTGAGCTGACTCCTTATGCAACATCTCATACTCCAGCTTCCTGTCAAGTTCTTCAATCTCCTAGAGGTCGAAAACACGTAATGATAAAAAGACATAATTTAACTTGGAAGAACAAATTACAATTGGAGTGAAGAAAAAAGATGGTATCAGAATTTCTGATATTAGTTTATTCATTTCTCATTCTACCCGACCACTTGCAATCATTACACTTTCCAATTCATTGCATGGCTTCAGTAAACATGACTTGCATGCTATGAATATCAGAACAATGCTGAAAGATATGAGTCTTTCATTTTCATTGTGTTAAAGATATTTCATTGTGTTCAAGATATTTTTATTGTGTTAAAGGTTGATGCTCTCTGAAACTTTCCACTGTAGAGGACATCTAGAAAGCACACTACCAGCATCGCTGAGATCTAAACAAAAGAATGGCACCACTAAAATTCATCTATAAGCTGAATAAAGCCACTGAAACAGCTTGAGAAACCCAGACTGACTAGTTTTAGTTTTAGTTATACTGAATCAACAAGGCGTATTAAAGAAGTTTGAAGTTAAAAGACAATATTTAGTGTGATAAAATTAGGGTTAAAATACAATGTTTAAAAGTCAAGGGTTAAAACCCAAAGTCTTAAGTTGACTGGATCCCTCATGCCAAAGATCTCTCTTTGGTCACAGCGTTAAACTAAACATCAGAAGGAAGGGTTCATTTCCAGTTTTCCAATATCATTGTTGTCTGACCTCAAGCTTTAAATTGCTTAATATCTCAGTGCCTTATGCTTCCTAACCTCCACCTTGGAGAAAATGATGAATTTTAATCTATTCCTCTGCCTCATCAACTGTATTCAGACTACAGATTTATTGGAGCACGGCGTCTCTAAGTGTCTGCTCCCCGGTCAGGAAGATTTGACATTGAGGCTTGATCCACTCTCCAAATGTCAAAAACAAGTATTAACTCATTATCTTTAAGGGGATGAAGCAAATTCACATATAGCCAGACGTGTTTGTTTTACTGATTAGTAAAACTGATGTCCTCACTATTAGAGAATCCCATGTAATCTGATGTATTTGTTTCGAAGTAACAAATGTTAAAATTTGCTAGCCAGAGGGACAAAGGAGTTGGACAAACACACAGGAAGAGAGAGAGAGGTGTGATCACCACGAAACAGTCCCTGTAAACCAAGCCTAACAGGCACTTTGAAGAACACCTAAAATAATTTTTTTTGCCCCCAAAATAGCGCTCTATTCAGTTCCTGCACATTGGATGAAGAATCCAGTGTTAGGGTGCTCTAGATCTCTCTTCTGCCTCTCCTTCAATCCCTTTTCTTCCATCTGTTCAAGGACAGAGAAGCTAGAAGCAAACTCTTTGCAGAGACCCCATACACTTGTTGCATAAAAGACAGTAATTTCAGATTATTTTTATTATAATTATATAATAACAATTACTTTTTAATACTCTGTCTACATGCAACTTTCAATATTTCCTACAGATTTGATACAAATTTAAGAAAACTGGAAGCATATAAGCATTCTAACTGCCATTCTAAGAGAAACTGTGTGGAGATGACAGCATTAAAATTTATCCAGGAGTTTTCACAGCAATAGCTGTCTAATGATGCCCTCTAGCAAAAAGGTTTTGCTCTTAAAAACCCATTTTGTTTGTTCTGCTCCAGTGCTCTCCCAAGCCTCACTTGGATGGCTGCAAATAGCAGATGTAAAAAAAAAAAAATAATAAAAAAATAAAAAGAATCCTTTTGCATACAGAGCACTGAGGTATTAAAAAAGGATTAGAAAACTGGCACATCCCAAGGATGTAATGAATACGATGAAGGGAAGAGACCTTTCCAAAGTCTCTGCTATTTAAAGTGTATGAGTGTGCTAGGAGGAAGACAGACCCTTAAAAACTTGATGATTGAAGCATATCATGTGCTTATGGATTTTGCCATATGGGTAGCACTGTAACATGATGAATTTTGCAACACAGTCATGACAATTTGCACACTACCCCAGTCATGACTCACAACCACCTCCCAATTGTCTTTCTTGCAGTCAATAAATCTTTAATATTAATTAGCCACCAAAATACTGCTCTTTCTGAATGTAGATCTCTGGACACTACTATAACAAAAATAAATAATAATAATACATAATCTTTCCTGGCTGTAACATTTTCCTTCTCTTTATTTCTTTTACTGAGTGCATTAAAGTCCACATAATCACAGAAATTAAAGGCTGGGCTACCAGAAGCTGCAAACCAGCCCAGCTCAATCAAAGTCAAATAAGCTACTGCAATAGTTGCTGTCTCCTAACAGGAATTCTTCCTTTTCACAACTTCATTACTTACAGGATTATGTGCTTCTAAAATCTGAATACATTCCAATTTTGACAGGGTTTTTGACGTGCTCAGTTGTTCAAAGAGCAAAGCTTGCACACTTATGACAGCAGTATACAGCTCCAACATTTTGGATTTTTTAACAGTCTTTTGAAAGGCTAAAGCAGCAATATACTCTCCAAGTTTATTTTCCAGATCACGCAGTTGACACTCTCGCTCAAGCAGCAACTCAAACTGAACCTAAAAAATACCAAAACCACAAAAGATAAGATTAACAGAAAACCTTACACGGATGCTCATCATTTTACTACTTTGTAATTAACAAGTAGGATTAACACAGCAAAGTAATCAATATGGTTATATTACGGTGTAATACATTGTTTTAAAAAGTGCTTTTAACATTAAATTCCAAGCTTTTACTGTGTTTAAGTGATTAAAAACATATTACAGTAAGGTCAGACATTTCAAAGAGATCAGACTTTGTTTTAGGGTAGTCATAACTTTAATATTAAATACTGTCATAACTGATATCAAATACTAATCTAAAATAGAGGATCCATAATTTTTAATATAATAACAGTAAAACTTATAAATAGATCTACACTTACCTATATGATTGGTTAAATGGCAATAAAATACATCCTTCTGTTTAGCAAAACCACAAAATTTATAGAAAGACTGTACCCAGTTTCAAATTGGCAAGTGTCAGTTAATATCGACCAACAAAATTGGATCTACTATTCTTTAAGCAAATAACCAAAAATCCTCTTATAAAAAAAAAAAAGATTAAATCAAGAGTCTACTGGTAATGGATCTCAAACAAGATTAAAACTGTATCGAATGGTCATCAAGCAGGATTAAATCACAATGATTTAACTCAGTAACTGTGTTGCTGCCACACATCTGCTGGGACATCCGCAGAAGCTACCCAAGGGTGAAAGGCAAGTGTGACATATGCAAACATAGGATCCCACACAACGGGACTGACGAGCTCTCCATGCTCCACCAATGACATTCACAGCCTGGGATACTGCACTGTGACCATTTTTTCTGCAAGCCAATGTGGATAGGAACCAGCTGCAATTACCCCCTTTAAATGCTTCCTTCTGAGCTTGTCATTTTAAGTTCCCTTTATAGGAAAAGAAAAGGAAAAGGTACTTCTCGGTGTGTTTTGTATCCTGAAAAATTTGTTTCCACTGACATGTAAGTGTGGATGTCTAGGTTAGACGTTGATGGCTACACTGACTATCTAACATTTGGGGAGCTGAATCCTCAAAGACAGTAAATAATTATCAGTGTGGTTTGCCTCTCTCTCCCTGTATTACCCACACAGGCCCAAAAGCTGGATTGTAAGAGAGAGAAGACACAAAAAAGTGCACATGTAGCCATGAGAGCTCCAACTCCACTGCTTGGTGTTGGTATCAACTGCTTTAGCTTTGATTATGATTAGCTTTAAAGGAGCACTTAAGGAGACTTACACCAAGTTTTTAGATCCCTAAGATGACAAACATGTAACACGATGCCCATGAATTTTCTCTGGAAATTTTATTGATAAGGGACCTGCTAAGAGCGATTGTGTATCATCCAAATTCTATTATCCAGCAGATACAGCTAAATTTAATGTGATTTGGAACCACATATGCTTGTGATATTCTCACTCAGGCTCATGTGATATTCTCCAAAGTCCCCATTACATCATCTGGAATGTCTTTGAATGCAAAAGATGGAAGGTCACCTTCAGGAAATTTTTCCCACTAACATGAATTTAGCCCATTACAACACAAGCCTAAGAAGTTATCCTAGAGACACAAAGTGGAGGCAAGATTCATTTTCTTGATATTTTTAACAAAACTCCACCTTAAAAGACAGACATTGTCTTCAAACTTACTGTTAGATTTCTAACAAATCCATCTTGAATAATGTAGATGTGGGATACTAAATAATAAGTAAGCATATGGGGCACAAATAAACATATGGGATATTTGAGATAGGAGGAGAATTCAACTCAGAGATCATACTGGAATACGGTAACCAAAATGAGAAAAACTAAGCTGCTATTTCTGAACGCAGGAGGCAGAGATCTCCAGTGAAAAGCAAAAGAGATGGCCAAAATTGGGAGCTTATGGAAAAAGAACTGAGCTGCCTTCAAGTACTTGTTTAAAAAAAGTAGATGACATTTACCTTAGGATAGATACAGAAATATCCATTGCTTGTTTCTATGTTTCAGTTGGAAAAAAAATCCGTAATAATAACAATAATAACTTTTTATATCTATCTTCTATGTTTTTGCAGTGCAGACAAGAAACCTATTAAAGTGAATTTGAGGCCTTTTGTTTTCTGTAGAATGCTTTCTACTGAAAAGCAAGTAACTTTATTTAGCATCTGTTTAAGCTCACAGTCCAGCAGTTCTCAGGCATTCAAAGGTGTACAATAAACTCTAGCAGCACCGATCAGAAATTAAAAATAAAAACTTTTGCAGAATATTCTACAAGTCATGACTTCGATGCAAATTGCACAAGACAGCCAATCCCACCCTAAATCAGGGGGGCTTAGGGGACTGGTTTGTTTGGTTTATTTATCTTGTCAAAGCAAATTGATTTTCAAAATCTACAGTGTTATTTCAAGATATTCTTATGAGCTAGTTACATAAGATAAAGGCCTAGAAGCAAGACTATTCCACACCTCAGTGCCAAGGAAAATATTTAGAACAAAAATAATAAGTATTTAAAAAAAAAATAAATATCTTTCTTCAAAAGCCTGTGCACAAGACTCAAATTTCTCAAATAAGATTGAAGTTTTTGTTTTGAAAGGCACATTGAATGAATTGTTATACTACTGATCACTGTGACACAAGACAACGTTCTTAAAAACAATTAGCAATTTTCAGAGCCATATGGTCCAACTGTCCAATTTTTTAAGATCTCAGTTGTGAAGTTTCCATTGACTTGCCCTTACCCTTCTTTTCGGTGGTGAAACTTGCTTCACTCTTTGGTGATTCTTAAAGAAAGGATGGAATGGAAGCAAGTCCTTAACAGTGAAACAGACAGTTTAACAACTACCAGAAGAAATAGCCTATAAAGGCAGGCAAGGAATTTATATCCGATTTAGCCAACCACTTAATACTTCACTAACAGCAACTGCTCTCTAGCAAGGTGTTCAGGGAGATGCATCGCTAAAGCAGACATCACTTTAAGGGGCAATTCATGTTAGAAATGAATCAGGCTGGAGAGCTAATGCCACAAGTGACCTTTCAAAACTTCAGCAATCTTGTTTTGAGTTTGCCTAAAAGCAGGAAAACGAAGATGGATGAGAACAACTAATGTTTTTGTTGCGAGAGACTAAATGATTTATATTATGATTTTCATTACAATAACACCTATTCAAGGAATGGGGAAAAAAAGGCAAGCAGATCTACCTGTGTGGAAGTAAACAGGTCCATTTTCAAAAGGACTAATGCTTTAGAGTCAATGTGATGCTCCCTATTCAATGTATTAGGGCAGCTTCTTAACTAATAGAAATTACTACACCACTACTAGCTTTAATGAGTTACGACAAAATACACACACTGAGGAGGTGGTCCCTCTTTTCTTCCAGCTTTTATTTACATGCCTAAGACGCTGCCTGCCAGAATACACACATGTTTACAGTACCTCAAAAAAGGGGAAAATATATGCTTGAGCTATGATTTGTTTTATATGACACAAAATTAATAAGCAATATGTGAAGACTGCCTTGGTGGTTTAGGAACAGGATGCGCTATAAACCTTTAAAAATGCAGATAAAAAAAATTACACAGAAATGTTTTGACAGGTGTGTGCACACAACTGAATTTAAAGTTTGCTCTTTCTTCACAGGAGGCTCAGTTTCAGACGCAAGGATTTTAAATGAATTATACATACATGAAATCTGGGGATGAATGAATAATGAATAGATGAATGAATAAATGAGTGATCACCTTTAGTGTAAGTTTGAACCCATTAAAATGAATAATGAATAAGGATGGAAATGCAGTTTGACAACTCAAGTTCACTTCTAAGGAGACATAGGAATGTATATTTTAATTACAGCTGAATTCAAAGGCAAAAGAGATGCCATCAGTGACAGAAACACTTATACTTTTGTCATCCACTTCAAATAACAGGGGGTTTATATGGTATGTTCAGTGTATTCCATGAATCGTAAGATTTATGGTCCAAACTGCAAAACAAGATACTATTTACATATCACTAAGTATGAAGCCAGACACTAAGCATGCCCAAATATGAGGGATAGAGCACCTCTCTTATGAAGACAGGCTGAAATAACTGGGGTTGTTCAGCCTGGAGAAGAGAAGGCTCCAGGGAAACCTTATTGTGGCCCTTCAGTACTAAAAGGGGGCTTACAAGAAAGATGGGAACAAAGTTTTTAGCAGGGCATGTGGTGACAGGACAAAGGGTAATGACTTTAAACTAAAAGAGGATTGATTTAGACTAGATATAAGGAAGAATTTTTTTACAATGAGGGTGGTGAAACACTGGAACAGGCTGCCCAGAGGTGGTAGATGCCCTCATCAAGGTCAGGTTGGCTGGGGCTCTGAGCAACCTGGTCTAGTTGAAGATGTCCCTGCTCATTGCAGCATGAAGGGGTTGGACTAAACGTCCCTTGCAACCCAAACTATTCTATGATTCCATGGGAATGATGTTCAGCTTTATCATTCAGCATGTATTCAACATTATACGAGCCAAACACAACGTAGTATTGCTCAACTGGTACTTCTATCTATCCCCAGCCACCTAAGTTTCTTTCTGCCTTTTTATCAGCTCTGAAATCACAGCTCTGCAAATAGGAATATGTTTGTCAAAACCAAGCTTGCAAGTAGACCTGACTTCAGTGTGACACAGAAGGTGATTTCAGTAGAAGCTGGAACAAGTATTGATTATAAAATAAATTATAAACTATTTATAAACTAATATCCTCTGGCCATTTTTGAAGCCTTTTGTCATACCAAAAAAAGGACTGTAAAATACTGCTTGACGTTGTACTATTTGACATATTAGAGCATCACACCACTTTGGTTATGATGAATCCACTCCCATAAGTCGGAACATTTGCTGCCGATTCCACCTGAAGCATCCAAACTACATGAAAAATTGCTAACCCTATGTAAATGCACTATGATTGCTTGAAAGCATTGACTTCTGAATTCCATATTTAGTTCAGACTAACTGCTAACAAGTGTTGTCACAGTGCTAAATATTGCAAATAAAGAGAAAAGTCTGAAAATGTAATTGATTATCTGCAATCTGAAAGGCATTTCTCATGCCAGTACTATTTTTAAGCCCATCAGGCAAAATAGGCTAATGAATGTCAGTATTTTCACCACTGTTCTTCTTTTGAGATAGGTAACTGCTATTTCACAAAGGAACACCTACTTTCTCACACACTACAGTTCAAAACTGCCTTGAAATGCAAAAGAAGCAGATACAGTCTGCTTCTGAAGATTTTCATAGTGAGGTCAATGATACCCTCAGGTGCTCCAAGACCAGGCTTCAAACTTCTTGCCGTGGCCTCCCAGCTCACTGCCTCCTGTCTCTGAGCTGTTAGTTGTTCTTCTCTGTCCTGCCTGCTTTACGGTATTCCAAAACGCACCCCGCTGCTCTTTTCATAGGCATTAGCTGCAAACCGTTTTACAGCCATCTGTAGTGAGACAGAACCCTCGACACCACCTGAAGTTTGCAGCAGTGAAGGCAGGAGAAATACAGCTCCATCCTGCCTCGAATTGGCTGCACAACTTCAGATGGTTAATTTTGAGTGAGATGACAAAAGTGTTCATGTTAACGCAAAATTTAGAAGTGTAAGATTCTAAATGAGGAAGGAGGTAACAGATTGCAACAGCCAAAAGAAATAAACTCCAATTCTGTGATCAAGGTAAGGTTTGTTGCTTACACTTCTCTGTCCTAACAATGTGTGAACTGACGATTTTCTTTAACAATAGTTTAGCTTCTTTATTGGGAAAAGCCCAAAGCATTTAGCTTTTTATAACTAATGTGCAGCCATACAATTAGAACAACAGGTAAGCCAGATGGCGCATATAAAACTGAAACAATGAGGCTTCGAAAAGCTACCTTTCCAATTTTAAAACAAGATTCTTACAAAAATATTCATACCAAACAAGTATTCAGTACTTCTTGTAACGTAAGAGCTTAGCCCATACTCCGTTGTACTTTCAAGTAACAGTATAAAAAAAAAAAATATCTAAATTTTGGGGGTCAGGGCATTGGGTATTGAAGTCAAAAGTTTAAATGCCTCCATTAAATGATTAAAGTATTCTTGGACGAGAGTTACAAAATTATTAAAGAATGCCAGAACACACTTGCCCACTTGCTGCATTATTGACATGCACCTGCTCTCACTTTCAAAGATTGCCTTTATCATCTGCAACCAATACTGACAATGTGTTGCTCTCATATAAAAGACATTATTTCTCAATGAACATGCTGAACCAGTGTTTTTCACTCCTTAGGATGCAAGTATAAAAAGCACAGGAAAGAGGTGTAAAAAACAGATTTTTTCCAAATTGGTAGTAAAATTGATATTGCAATCATTTGAAACAACTTGAAATTCAAATCAAATTGAAAAACAATTTGAAATTATTTTTTATCTACCAATTTTAACTACCAATGATTCCTGCTTGTTCTGCATAGTTCTTATAGCTGTGCACCACCTATATCTAACACAGTTATCACTGTAATGTTCCTCTGATATACAGAAGTGGTATTACCCACATTTTACAAGTGGGAAAGAGAGGAGAGAACTGTTAAAGAACACACACAAGACCTCATGGAACATCTGCTGGCAGAGAAGGAAAAAGCCTCAAAAACACCTGGCCCCACTCATTCCTTAAGGATTAACTCTAGACTGGGACTGTGAGCCTTTTAAATGATACCCACCAGAATCAAGGGTCCTTTCAATAAGCCCTATACAAATAAACTCAGCCCCTACCCAAAAAGCCTTTGGATCTAAGAACCCATTTCTGGGTTTTCAGTAGCGTTAAGAGAGGTCCAAGAACTAAATCTTGCTCAACTGAAGTATGCAGTGAATCACCTCCCAAGTTTTGGGCCTTACTAAGAAAACCAGAGGATCTAGGGGAGTCTTGCAATCATGCATACGCCAAGCCCCAGAATCACCAGAAGACAAAAGCGCAAGACATGAAATCAGTTATATAACTAAGGCACAAAATTTAAATCATAGCAAAAACTATTAAGCTTGAAATACATCATCCTGATAAATTCGGACAAAACTAGAGAGATGCATCATGCCACTACATCTTATGCCTTTTTTTATATGGTTCTTATTCACATTGATAGAAAACTGTCTTTTTTTAATTACGAAAGATCAAGGTTTGACCTCAGTACAGAAAAAGTTTGCATTTACCTTATTCAAATTTTCATCTTTCACTGAGTCTTCATAAATAAGTATTTTGTCCTGTAAAGATTTCTTCAGAATATCTATCTTATTTCTGTTCCTGGATCCTGGTGCTTTCATTTTAGAATGCTGCTGTAAGAAGATGAACACAGAATGCTTTATTGGTAAGAGATATATAAGGATGCTAACATTAAGACTATTACTTGCTATTATTGGCAGATCCACCAATTAATGAAACACCTGCCAAGGATGGCTTACACTGAGAAAAAATAATTCCGAAATGAAGGTGCTGCCTATTGATTCAGAAGATTCCTTTCAGACGTTCAGACAAAGTTGGAAATTTCCTTTTTCATTTATTTCAAGTAGAATTATATATTCGTCCTTTCTATGAAAGCTGCTAGCACATAAATTTGATTTTAAACAAGTTTTAGCAAAGATAATAAGAGAAGATTTTAACTGATAGGTTGTCTCTGTTGCATGGTTAAAAATGAACAAAGAATATTAATTTAAGACTACATTGTTTTCAAGACACAGTATATGAATCACAAATGAACCATGATAGTATTAAGGGGCACCGCTCCATGTAATCAAATTATTCTTGACCTTTATATTTCTTTACAAGAATATCAACTAAGTATAGGGTACTCTTGGGGAAATGATAACATCTGTTCAACTATAAGGCTTTGCAAAGTCATTTCCTTACTTTAGAAATTATTAAGGTTTTGAACTAGGCTAATTCCTAGTACAATTAACCCAAGTTAGTTTACACATTTAGAAAACAGCTGAACCAAAGCAAAGCAAGGGAAAGTCCTCTTTTTTATGATGGTATCAGATACAATTTGTACAGGAAACACTCTTTTCCCCCTCCTATTTAAGAACTGAAAATAATTTACGACTCCACAAGTTTTACATTTTACTGAAGGAATTAAACATCCCTCAATTTTTTTTTAAAAAAGTGCTAGATTTGATAGACAGACAGACTTCTTGCTGGGAATGCCTCATCTTTTATGTCTTTAGATTTGGCAAAAAAAAAAACCTGAATCAAAACCCACCTTCTGTATACACCCAACTCTTTGGGAAAGAAAGAAACAGAAATCAAGCCCAAATTCTTGCCAAGAAAAAGCAGCTCATTCTGGAACTTCACCTTCCTAAATGGACAAGACAACATAGGAGAAGTGTGCACCACTGTCGCACCTACAAAGAAGCTACAGACCCATATCTGCAGCCGAGGCCAACGACCTGCAGATACACCCATGAACCTCTCGCACATCCCCACACTGATCCCACATCATTCTCACCTGTTTATTGGTCATTGCTAAAGTCTGATCGACTTTCAGCATCTCTGCATCCCTCTGCTCCATCTCAAATGTCTGAAGCAAGGTTCTGGCTCTTATCTTGGGCCAAGCCAAGCTGCTGTCCACCTGAGAGAAGCAGCAGTGCAGCTCTTGCCTCATTCTAAGCAATTCCTCTTCTGATAGTGACAGGGGTAAACTTAGAAGATGCCTGTTAAAAGAAGCAAAAGCCATTTGCTGTTCAGTGATACAGGCAACATTGCATAAAATATAAGCGACAGCACACAAATGCTTCACGTGACAATGATCATCCTTTTTTGTCTTACTCATATATCACTTAATGATTCCACTCATAGGTCTGAGCTACTCAGCATGTTCAAAATATCCTCGAGGATACTTTACATTCTGCATACAGAACTTCCTGGACTGTAAAATCTCATTTTCAAGGAGAAACAGTTTTTGAATATTTAATAAATAAATAACTTCCAGCACATTCCCTATGCACACAATCTTTCCACCTCTTCAGACAATAAAACCCCTGAACTTAGGGCTGAAATCGAGATAAGAGCTTCCCGCAAAGCCTCCCTGTGCTGTTTCCCAGCACTTAGCAGTCACAGCTACTGAGAGGGGAAAAAACTAAAATAAAAGTCTCTCTCTGTTATAAACTCCTATATGTCATTCCTTCCATCACCAAGTCACAAGGGTTCCAGCTGTTCCCTGTAAAAAAGCTTTTAGCAGTCTGAACAACACGGAATATATTTTAGCAGTAATTTGAATCACTCAGAGTTCCCATTTTGCAGAAGGAAGGTTCTCAACATAGGCATCTGGGGAACTAACCCTCGGGTCAAGCTAAAGCCGAAATTCTTCTTCCAGTGGTGAATAACCTTAGACTATAGTTATCTTCTTATCTTGTGACTGAAATATTTTCTTAAGAGTGTTTAATAAAAAAATAGCATAATTTCTTGTTTGGAAATGTTCTCTATTTCCCCAAAAACATATTTGTATTTAAAGAATGAACAGCTTATTTTTTTAACAAGTAGTTTTCTTTTAAAAATATACTGTATGTTCCATTAGGACTGATGTTTTTATTTAGTGTATCACAGGCCTATACCACCTCATCATTTCACTAAAATATTTCTGAGTTTAGAAATCCTTATTTCGCAAAATACAGTTAAAACCTAAATTAAAACATTTTTAATGCATAAAGTTTTTATCTTCAAAAAATTACTTACTTTAAGGCAATATTACTCCAAGCAAGCATTTACAATATGCTTAACCGTTTCTCATATTGTCTTTGAATTTTAGAAGAAAATCCATACTATATATCCCTATATACAGAACCACAGAGATATAGAAGACAATACAGTCACAGTTTTGTCACATCTGTGTTTAAAAGGGACTTTAAGCATAAACGATCTTCATAAATATTCTGGACTAACTCATGGTTTCTTTGATAAGCAACAAAAATGAAAAGCTATCATTCAAAATAATTCTTTGTGAAAACTTGATAGCAGATGAGAACATAAACATGAGAGATGGCATCTGTCATTGAAATATCAGAATTGACAGGCAGCGGACTGAACATAAAGAGAGTGACAGATTTTAAGGGGCTTTTGATAGGACAGAGTTGCAAATGCTGCATTTTTTGTATATATTTTCCAGTATTTTACTGAAGAAAGCCAAACATCTTACTGTTGCTGTAAATAAAGATATCATCTATCAAATACAACAGGTGACACTGCAGGCTGGAACACAATTATCATGGAATTGTAAGTTAGAAACAGGAAAGATGTGTTGGGTCATACAATCTACTTCCCTGCCCCTGTGAGCAATGTGAGTAAGAGATAATAAGACACGCTAGAAAATACATTGAAATGGCTTATAGAAAAGTATGTAAAATGCTGAATAAAATACACAGCCCTTGAAATTAGAACCAAAACAAGACAGAAATGGATTCTTTTTTTTGACAAAGAAAACATAACAGGCAAGGTTTCTTTTTATATTCCTGCTATATGGTTTTACTCTGTGCAGCAGGCAAACTTACACAGATGCTGTCTGGGCAAAACTGCCCGTGCAAATCTGTTTTGCTTTAAAGAGGTATGAAGGCGAAACCCTTACTAATGTCTTTTTGGGGTTGTTTTGAGGGTGTTTTTTTAACTTTCCCCCTCTGCCCTGCACCTCTGTTCTACCTCTTATGCTTGGTACCATTTGCTCCAGGGGCTTTGTCTGTTCCAGTTGCTTCCCCTACAGCTGTGACTTTGACAGCAGACTATTTTTTCATGTTCCCATGTCGCTAACAGTGTCTATTATTAAATAGACATTGCATAGGAAATGTAGTACTGTAAATATTCAGATACTAAAACAACTAATTATAAATGTATTTGAAAGCTAAGAAGAAATGGTGCAAATCTCTCAGGGACCTTGCTGCCTGGTCTGAGAAGCACCACACACGACCACTCTTGGCTGCCACAAGGTCTCTGAATGGTGGCAAGGCCACCACCCATCTTTCTACCTCCTCAGCCAGGATCATGTCGTAGCAGGCAGCAATGGCCATAAGGTGCACTCGGGGCCAGCAAACCTCTCTGCAACATGGCCCATGCTGTGATGCCTCTCTGGCTCGGGGCTTTGTGCCAGGGGCACTGTCAGCAGGCCAGATTGGCCAAGTCTTATGTGTGGAGCCCACAAGCTGGAGAGATAGGCTATCACGCTGTGTATTTATGGAACATGTGGAAATACTGGGGCTGAGCTTAAAACAAACCCAACAAGTAAGGCTTGACTTGTGGTTGGAAGGAATATTTTGAAATTGGACATGGCGCTAATTGGATGGGGAAGCATTCAAGGCCAGGCTGGATGGGGCTTTGAGCAACCTGGTCTAGTGGGAGGTGTCCCTGCCCATGGCAGGGGGGTTGGAACTCGATGATCTTTAAGGTCTCTTCGAACTCCAACCATTCTATGATCCTATGATTCTAATTGGGCCTGACATAGTAGATGACATTTCCAAAGTGTCCGACCTCCGAGAACAGACTGAGAATAATAATGAAAGAAGTGCAAGTGAAACCTGATGCAGCGTAAGTGGAAGCATAAAAATACCACTCCATGGTTTTGGTTTCAAAACTGCTGTTTCCTGGGATTCCCACTGTAGGACTAGGCGCTCAAAACAGTCAATTCTCAAGTGCCTGACAGAACCAATCATTAGGAATTATACCCGGACAGGTGTGGAAACTCCTAGTTCATCTCTATTTGCAATAATAACTATGAAAAGGGTGCAGAGGGATACTTGCATGAATACTGATTGTTCCCAGCTCCTTAATTTTTTTTGTTCCAAAATGCTCGTTTCTAGTTCTTGGCTGAGCTTCTGCCTGGTGAGCTGAAGCAGCTCTTCAGCTGCCACGCTCTTATCACGCTCTTCCCTTTCAAGCTGCTCGTGTTTAACAACCATTTCTTTTTTATGTTCCTCCACAGCTTCCAGCAGGAACATCTTTGGCACACTGAGCTTCACCAGTTCTTGCACAAATACTCCATACTGAACACGTTTAAGCTCTTCAACAGTTTTCTCTGTTAGACTAAATAGAAGCTCTTTCAGCTCTTCACTGGCCTCATTGTCAAGCTTTTCAGTAAGTTCTTCAAATTCAATGGTGTGATCGCTCAGAAGATTTTTCCACTGGCTGAGGTAGGGAGTGATCTCCTTAGTAGTTTTGAAAGGGTCTCCAAGTGACAGCTGCTCCTTCCGATGCTCTTTCTGCTGATTCATTTGCCAAAAGGAGGAAGAAGGTTAAGAGAAGGAACATCTCAAATTCTAGCTCTTTAAATGTGTATTTCATAGCAACACAAAATTTCATACTTTTATTTTTCAGTGTTTTCAAAACTGCTTTTCAGTGTCTAGAGACTTACCTAGCCCTCAACATGATGGCTTCATGTGTATTTAGCAGGCCTGTGACAATTCAAATTATTGTTAGATAGAAGGGCTAACACAGGCCTGGGATAATTTAGATTATTGTTGGACGGAACGGCTAACACAGGCCTGGGATAATTAAGATTGTTGCTAAATAGAAGGGCTAATACCTAAACAAATGTGTGATACTGTGTTTTGACACAATCCCAACTGGCTGAACTGCAATGATCTGGCAGCGTTCCAGAAGTGAATCTGGATCAAATACCAAGGGCAAAAAAAGAAGGAAAAAGAAGTGAGAGGAAAAAAAAGGTAGTGTTGTTGGTTTTTTTCGTTTTATTTTCCCCACCTTACATCATGCAGCAACTTCATTGGAAAGCTAAACCAAAGCTACCTATACTGAAAAGAAATAAACTCCCACTGATATCTGTTAAATAGCAGATATATCCCACAAAAGGTAAAATTAATCTCACCTAACTTTGGTCATCTAAAGAAATATCACCTAATCCAAGATCCTGTAGGCAGAGAAAGACAGTAACCTTGGGATACGAACTCCCTTCCATTTATCTCAGATCACCTGCAAGTCATCTTCCATTGTGAGATGATTTGGAGCTTTTGGAGTTAGCCTGGATTTTTAGATGGCTGAGGTTAAAGGTAACATGAGTCCTATCACAAGCAGCCAAAGGTACAACGCCTTTTAAATAGCTTTGTTTTGTAGCTGAATTTTAACTGTGCTGTAGAAGTCATTAAGTCACACATATCCAGGAAACCCATAGAAAACCATGACTCACGAGCTCCAGAACCTCAGCTGGCCTTTGCCTGTCTGTACATTACAGAGGCTTGTCACAACCCCCTCGGACAGGTTAGACTAAGTAGAGGAGCTTCACAAGTTTCTCCAGTTATATTACTTTCTGGCACATTTTTCTAAAAGAACAGCAATTAATTACTGCATAATTAATACAGCACATGGCAATACACAGCTAAAAACAACGGACACTTCTTTAAACCCATGCTCCTGGAGATGTTGACCCCTGTCCTAAGAAATACACTTTATTTTTCAATTCACTCCATTGTTAATTCATGATAAGCCCTGTGAAAATAAATATACTGAAAATAATTACCTTTTGTAGCACTTCCCGCCTTCGCTTGGTAATGAGTTTCTGGCGAAGCTTTTGCTTTTCTTGTTTGAAATCATGATCGAATTTCTGTTTAACAGAATTAATTTCAGCCTCAGCTCGGTCCAGCAGCACTCCCAAATGGCTTTCAGGTAGATGGCCTGCTCTGTAATAACAGTGTTTCAAGCCTGTTATCCCCAATTCTTAAGAGCAAAAGTATATTTGAGGCAATTAGTACCATAACAAAGTAGACACACAGAATGATCTTTGTTGCTTTAGCAGTGATACCTGGGGGGATCAAACAAGCAAATGGAGAACAGAAAGATAATCTCAGAGATGAGTGTAGAATTAACGCAGTTTGTGAAGGTAAAGTGAAGCAGTATGAAGAAGGAATGGGAAGAAGGAAGGAAGGGAATGCAAATGCAAAACCAATTACATATCAGTGAGCAATGTGATATTCAAATGAGACATTTTAAACCTTATATATTATTCATAATATTTACATTTTTTATTTAAGGCCCCTGGAATGCAATTCTAGATGTCTTTTATAACTCCTCCTCATTAGAAACAATTTTCTCTTTAAAGGATGTAATCTAATCAAGTAAAACAACTAAAAATTATTTTAAATACACAAAGCAATCATAGCCATGAAAAGGTTTCTATTCCAATTTCCTGTTACATTTACATCATCAGAAAAATATAAAGATTTCAAATTAATAGTGAAATACAATAATCGAACAGAGCAAATTCTCAGTCTTAAGCATACAGTGCTTTCAAAGGGAAGTTTGAGACCATGGTCTACCTCCAGTTGCTACAGTAGTTAATTTCAAAGAGTAAGCAGGATCCCATTCATGCCTACAACAGTCAGAAAAACCTCCCTCTCCACAAATTCAAATTGAGTTTCAAAAATTACCTGCTATTATATTTACACCAGAAACTCCACAAAACTTTACAGACAACAGAAGAATAAAAGAACACTTTAGTTCAGACCAGGCTGTTGGTTGTCAGTGAGTTATAATTTCTAATATTAAACACAGTGGACTTCCAAAATGCGGGGTTTGAAAAGGTCCATGTGGAACTTTGAGTAAAACATACCAGTTCCTGACCTGAACCTGGATGTTGTCCAAACACTTGCTGGAATATTTTTCAAATCCCCATTTTTTAGAAGACATTACCATTACGCGCAGAGCCTGCATTCAGGTGAATCCAGGGCTTCCAAGTCCCTGTTCCAACATGATACCTTCATACACTTGAGTAGCAGCTAAACATTGCAAGCCCTTCTCCAGAAAGGACAGAGTCTCGTTCTGGTTTATTAGGATTTGTTGGTACCGTATCAGCTTAATTCCAAACAAAATCTTCAAAATAAAAGCTAAAAGAACAGAAGACTAATGTACTAACTCATCTGCAGTCACTGCACGGTAACCATGGTGGCCAGATTCCACAATTCACACCTCTCCATCTACTGCTCCAGCATCCATAAGTATCTGAGCAAGTCACAAAACATTATGCCCTTCAATAATGAATACAATGGATAGAGATCTCCTTTATCACAATGTTATATCAACCAGAGAGTGTCTCCTTTTGCAGAGCTTTGCCAATGTCTATCTATTGTATTTCTTTACTCTTCCGCAAAGAGGATGAAAATACCTCTCAGAACCTTGACAGTAACACACCAGCATCATTCTTGGATCTTTTGGCCAAGTCATTTTTGCCTTGAAAACAATCAATGTTAAATTTCAGTGTTATGTCAAAAAAACAAACCATCTCCAATGCCCTACCCGTATTTGGCAACTTGCCCCCCATTTTGATCAAACCCAAGGCTAAAGATTAGTGAATGAAAGGTAAATTTATTACGGTGAGGAAGTGAGGCAAGATAATAACCAAGGTATTATTTTTAACACCTTCATCCTGTCTTGTACCGAGGAAATAAACCCAGGCTTGCTGCATCCAATTAAAATCCCTGTCCAGAGAAGTGAAAAGGGGCTGCAATAGAAAAAGATAGATGTGCTGGAACCACACAGCAAATAAAAGACACAGGAAAATCCATGAAACACAGAATGACTGGAAGATGATATATACCTACCTATTCTTAGGATGAAAAAAAGATTTATTTTTTTTTAAAAAAAAAAGCTTACATTATCCAATATGATCCAGTATGACCACAGCTCACTCACACTGAAGGTAATGCAGTGTGGTAAATCTGATCTACTTATTTATTTGCAATATACTTATTTAGAAATCCCAGAAAACAAAAATAATGAGCAAAAAGCCTACCAACACAGAAATCTATAGCAGTTTATGTGGCAACTTACATTAAACAATATTACAGTAATTCCTAGAAGTCTCAATCCTGGCAAAAGACCTTCATTTCTGGTTTCGTATAAGTATGATATAAAACCAATTACAGTATTAGAATTAAAAGATGTCCTCTTACCAAAGGGCTCTGAACTGAAATACAAAATAAAAGGAGAAGAGAAAGATAATGAGACAATACAGACTGTATGATAAACTGCTTGGTCTCAGCATACCAGACATCTAATCACTGAAGAAATGTGCAGGCACATGTTTAATGTCTTTGAACAAGGAGAATTTTAATGAAGGAGAACACTGCAGTAACGACAAGGATGTTTACAGGGAGATCCTCCCAAATGCAGTGAGCACCAGTGGAAGGAACAGAGATGAAGCATGTGGCCAACAGCAGCAGTATCACAGGTCAATCAGAGGCATTCCTTGATTTCACCTTACTAAACAAAAGCCAACAAAATGAGGAGAAAATGTGAAGTGATGGCACTAAAACTAAACAGCAGTTTGTTTTTGATGCGATGGAGAACCATCCAAGTGATGCTGAACCCCAGCAAAGGAAGATTGTTCTATGAAAGCTGGAGAAGGAACAGGAGTGTCACTAAAACATAATGGAGATAGACATGAAGCAGAGAAGTTGTACCAGTATGGACATGCACGGAGGCTGAATCACAACACGATACAGAAAGAACCTGAAGATGGGGCCCACGTTACTTTGCTTCAGCTACTTCAGGATTTCACCTGCTGAACTGGCATCTTGCCAGTACCCAGATCAGGACTTTGGTAAATAATTCAGAGTAATAAATTTTCTACGTAGCAAAGTGCTACAAGCAGAAAAGGATTTAAGAGATTATTAGAAATCTTTATACTAATTCATTACTGCTGGAGGCATTCACTTTCAAATACCAACTTGCTGAAGGGTCCAGCAGGACACACATCAGAAGACTACTTTGCTTATAACAAGGTTTATAACAATAAATTGAGATTACTCAGCAGAATAAGTAAGAGACCAACATGAGATGTTTTGCTTTGAACTTTTATGTCAAAGATAATCAGTCGCCTCCTTTAAAAAACACAGTTCACAAGAAATGTTGAGGTCTTACAAAAATTAAATTTTGGGAGAAATTTATGAAGGAGCTTGAGTTGTTAATACCTAGAGAGTCAGCAGAACTGGCTTCAGTTTTTAAGAGACCAAAGAATTAAAGAAACTTTTTTTGAACAAGCACAACTGGCAAATCCCTAGCAGTGTTCAAGGCCAGGCTGGATGGGGTTTTGAGCAACCTGGTCTAGTGGGAGGTGTCCCTGCCCATGGCAGGGGAATTGGAACTACATGATCTTTAAGCTCCCTTCCAACATGAACCATTCTATAATTCTATAAAAGAACAATGCAACAAGTTACAGCTGCTGTAGTTGAAAAATGTCAAGAACCTCATGACTCTGTGAATAGCTGGAACAACCTGGAACAAATACTGCCTCAAGTATCACTCTCCTGCCCATTTATTCTTTAAGGGAAAGCACAAAAAGCCTTGCTAAACATCCCTGAAATCTATCATTATGGATTATATTTTAAAACTTGCTTTCCTGCCTTTTGGCACTGCAGTCCATGGACTTCATTTCCAAATGGCACTGAGTACCCACAGCCAGTCTTGACAAACAGGACAATTTAAATACTGTCTTTAGAAAGCCCAGCTTGAAAACTGGCTGCTTCTATTTCATTTAAAACGTTCACAACCCTCCCTAGAATTGGGTTTATTTTATTTTTCTTTTTATAACCTTTATTTCTGGCCACACATAATCTTTTTCATGTTAATTTGAAATTGCTTTGCTATCTGATAAATTTTAAACATCCTATTAAGCTCCATTTTTAAAAAAAACTCTCATCATTTATCTGCTCGTTTACGTATTCCCGAATCTGTTGATCTGTGGTATTTCTAATCTACCTCTTCTCCCAGCTTCTCTTCTGCATATAAACAGCTCTGCATTTTAAAATTCCATTTATAACAGTAATTTTAAGGCACACTAAAGCTGGACACAATAGATTGAGACCTGAATCTATATTTAGACAAGCAGATTCAGTGCCAGAGTGAAAAATAAGAGGATATTATGGATACATAGTTTAAAGTACCAGCTCATTGGACCAGACTTCTGCTGTTCAAATTTTAATACTCCAATTTGTAAATATTCCCTCAAACACTTTATAATTACGAACTGAAATTCAAGTCCACCTGGCATAGATTATAACTTCCTCTGGGTTTGTACAAATATGTATCCAGATCCTCGAACTATTGGACTACTAATAGTACATGTTTACTCTCTGTTTTGTAGTTGATCTGTTTCATGACTGTCAGGTGCAATAACAGGCATTAAAAAACGTGTGGAATCTATTTTTCCAGCTTGAGAAGTCCCAGTTGCTCATTGCAATGATTTGAGCCACAGATGCAGTGGTCATACAGGTGAGAGTTTCTTGTGAAGGCTTTTTACCTAACCACAAAATCTGGGAAAATATCACAGAACATTTCTTATAATCTGATTGCAAAGAGAGGCATGAACTGAGGAAAAGGAATTCTCTGTGAAAAATGTGTCTGAACTGTATTTCCTACACTGGGAGATTTATTTTTGTCTTTGAACCATACAGCTGCAGATGTTAGCAAAATAGGCCAAGCAGTGTGAGCATACTAGAAGAACATCTCTCTGATTAACAAATCTTGAGACTAAACTTAGGGTGCAATTCCAATGAGGCAGCACAGAGGAAAACTTTAAAAAAAAAAAAAAAAGGGCAAGGAAAGGTTACTAATATTGGCTAAATTACTTTATCGTATCAACAGAAACAATCTTTGGTAGTTTTTAACAGTCCTCCCATTTCCTAATATTAAATTATTTTTAACTGAAGTCAACATCATGAAAGAAAAACCACAATGTAAAGACTGATGTATTTCTACAGTGCTGTCTCTTGCTGTTGATGCCAAAAGGCTGGTACTGCATTACCTACTTTATACTTGTTCTATTAACACATGCTCCGCGTGACGCCAGTGACTGACACCAACACAGATGTCTGAAATATAGCACTGGAGCTGCATGCACAGAATGAACAGCAGCAATGTTGGGTTGTTTTCCCACCCACTGATGTATTTTACAACACTGTCACACTCCTCACTACCTTCTCTGTATGCCCAACTAAGATACGCCACAGTCCTCTGGGTAACAGCAAGAAGTTTCTCTGACATGTAATTTTAAGTAACTATGTCTCAGGTAAGTCACAATTTCTGTCTCTCCACCGTGACTATCATGGAGCTATCATGGAGCACTTGAATCAGCCCAGATCCAGTATGATATCCCAAATAAATTAAATGAATGTATTACAGCAGTCCATTTCAAGGTCTAATTTTTATTTCACCTGTACTTAACTTTTTATATATTGTCTGCAACCATTGCTAGTCAAGACCCTCCCCAGTTACTTTATTTATAGACTTTGTCGACTTTCTTTAGAAAATATTCATGCATTCCAGCTTGAGACTGTACATCCAGCTCCTCAAACACATTCAATCACAAGTGAATGAAAATTGTTCTCTCCTGTTAAATGCAGGTATTCATGCATAAAGAAACCAGACAAATGGTCTTAAACTGGTACATGTTGCAATGGTCTTTTCACATGATTGAGAACTATTTACATGAATAATGGATATATGAAGACATGGAGACTCTTACATGAGTCTGGTTCCCACTGAAATCAAAATTACAAAGTTCCAAATCAATATTACATGTTCCCAGCAATTTATCTCCATGCTGTACAAAGCGGACACAGACAACTAAGTCTCACCTTCATGTCTGCTGGGATAGCAAGTAACAAAGCCATTGGTTGTAAAATATTTTTTTACAATTAACTTAAAAGACAACATTTTTATGAACTTTTCCTGTTAGGTAACAGATAAAAATACATTTGAAGACTATTCTGTTGTCATTGAGATAACATAGGCTGCCAAAAAACAGTTGAGATATTTACCTTTCCATCTTATTAATGAGACTTGATATCTGGGTTGCTGCTGCATTTATAAGAGCAGAAGCTTGAGAATACCTCAAGTGTATCTTACTTATAAGATATTTTCTGTAGGCAAATCTTCTATTCAGATGGTATTTCTTGCTAGCTTGCAAAAAATCCATTAGCTCTTCAATGTCTCCCTACAGGAAAGAATGTGAACAAATAATTAGATGTAATGTTAATGTTAATTTCAGCTAACACCTATGGGTTTCAGAACAGATTTGTTCATTAACAGGGCAAAGTTAAAAAGCTCTTACAAGTGAAAACCAACAAGCTTACATCAATTTAACTCCAATGATCATGTCATATTTTTACGGCTATTTCAACGAAACAAAATAAATAATATGCTGAGCCTTTGGCCTGAATAGCTCAATGTTGTGTGCACTCTCCTGAATAGTCATTGCCCCTCAGGCGAGCCCTGAGTTAACAGGTCACTTGATCAGGTACCCACAATTAAATACACATGTAACCCTGTCAGTGTTAGTTGAACTGTTCCTGCTTGAAACTAACCACAGGCTGAAAGGTCTTCTCGAACTGGGACCTGAAGACAGCATGAGTTCAGTAGCAGCAGTAAGTGGCATCAAGTCTTCTCTTTTTTCTTTACAATGTATTGTATGACTAAATAAATAAAGGATAATATTTTCAAAGGTGTTTAAATTGAATCCAAAGCCGTGGAGAAGTCATACACATGTCCCGTACAGCGTGGAGAAAGACAAGCTCACTGCACACCAGCTGGCTCAGAAGCTCCTGCTTCAAACAGTGGGGAACTGGAAGGGTTAGGAATAGAGTTATCATCCCATTACCTGTATTTTAGAGTAATCTTCCACTAAAGTTTTAGCTGCTTCCAACTTCAGTTCTCCCTTGAAAGTAGCATTTGATATCTGTGTAAAAAAGATGTTATGGAGCTCCTTTCTCTGGGTAACAGCCAGCTGCCTATAAGCCTTTGCAAAATATTCTTCCTGCTTTACCAGAAGGAACCTCTTCAGGTGGTCCTGCTCCAGTCTGTGAAGTCTGTCAAGAAGACTTCTGTACTCTACAGCAGGCTGCAGACAAGAGAGAAATAAATAAATCTGAAGTGATTTTCAGTATTCAACATTTTTTGAAGTATCAGTGCTACTAGCTCATACATATTTTACGCATACTCTGATTACTGTCATTTCAGGTTTGAATGAAGGCTAATACTAAATCAGTGTATGCTTTCCATGGTTTTTGTCTGTTTGGAGTGACAGGGACTCTACAACTGTCAATCTCTAATCCGGATAACACTTCCAAGGCATAATGAAGTCTTTTTAGAATTTAGAAGCATTATTTAAGATAAATTATACAAAATGGCATGAAATTCAACACAAAGACTACATTTCTTAGGTTTCATCAAACCTGAAATCCTATTAAAACTTAATAGACTCATGTAAGTCAGAACAATGAAACAACAATAAGCATACATTTTAAAACAATATAAATTAGAAAAAAACCTATTCAACTACAAATCTCTAAAATTTCTTATTATGATGACCTGTTTCATGTATTGGTTTCTACAAATTAATCCAAGAGCACCATTTTAGAATTACAACAATGGAGCAGAATTAAATAGTCATTAATTTAAAAGCTTCTTTGCAAGAAATACTTTCTCCTAGTTCTCCAGTAAGACTTACATATTCATAGTTTTAATCTCAGAAGACATAAACTCATTATAGAATCAAAACATACATCTCCCACAGAGCAAAGAACGCTTCTTATGCCAGCAGAGCTACCCAACAGTAGCTATGTTGGTCTTGTTCTAAATTTCATACTATTTATCTGGGGAGAACTGTTCTCTGCACTGAGGCCCCTACATCTCACCCCTCATTCCCAAGAGACAGACTGTAGACAGCAAATAATAAATCAAAAAGACAGGGAAAATACATTCTGTGGTTTGGGTGATAAGGGGAGGAGGTCACTGCTTTGGCTGTTTTTCACTGCCTTCTCTCCTGGACGTCAGTACACCCGCTGCCAGGAGCACGAGCGAGCACCATCCCTAGCACTCGGGCACGTCCACGGACCAGGATCCTCAGCAAGTACAAAACCAGGTCCTTTCACAGACAGGAAAGTGAAGGGCAAGATCTTAGTATATGATAAATGGATGAGGACAGGTATTGGATTGGCCTTAATGCTTTCTTTCATTCCTACCATACAGGATTTCCAGTATAAACCAGACTGAAGCAATACCAATGTATTTTGTGCAAACAAAAGCTGCTTTTCTGAGAGCATATTTAGAGTGAGTTCAGATACCAAGTCACAGTCAGGCCCCTCTCTCTGCAAAGGCAGGATTTATCTTAGCAAGGTCTAAGCGTTAGACGTGTAGTCTAGGCTCCTTCTATAACCAGAAGAAGGCTTCTGCGGAGTACAATTCACCTTATCCTTAAAAAGATGTCCAGAAGCACCCCTTCCTTCCTGTCTCCTTTGACTTTCTAGCACATCTAGTTCAGGACATTCATATCCTACAGATATTTGAAAGCCCCCTAGAGTAACACTTTAAAATTCACCTGGAAACATCAAAGAAACTCAACTGGCTCACTGGCATCGTGCCATGAACCCTCTCCACACAACAGCCTGATAAACCGAAGTTCTTCTTGAGAGCCTCAAAATACTGTAGTGCCTTTGATGAGCCACACTTAGCAAAATACTTCTTTTGTCAAAACTGCAATCATGAATTGTCATAGAAGTCCTTAACAATTTTAGGTATAGGACATGCAATTTTAATTTTTTTTTTAATTAAAAAAATCAAACAACCAGAAAAACATATCAGAGGGCCAAAAACTTCACCAACGTCTACAAAGAGAGCACAAACAAGCAAGGAATATAGTGGTCTAAGGGATTATACTCCTAACATAATTTATTTTGTCTCTGTAATTGAACTGAAACAGACAGCTGGAAACTCAGCAACATCACATTCAATACCCATGTATCCCCTTGTGCTCCAGAAGCAAAGCCCCACTGGTAAGTAATGAACTGCACTATTTATTCCCAGCAAGTCATCCTCTTAATATGAGTTATAACGTTAGACAAGCATGAAACATTAACTTGGGTATTTTAGCATTTTAAGCTTACAGAGGTAAAATATTCAAAACTTAACAGAATCCTCTCAAGACACATGAAATAAAAAAAAAAAGATTAAAAAGCGGGAAAAAAAAGTGGAAATCTGTTTTATTGTAAACATTCAATGTACTTGAATAAAGGAGTACTGGAGCGTAATTTTGTATACGGGATGCTTGACTGCAATCTATTTTCAACGAGTGACTACCTTTGAAATTCTGGGTAATGATACCCAGTTGAACAGAGATCTTTGAATGAAAGTGACATACATAAGCACTAAGCTTTTACTTAAAGAGAGACTCTAAACCTGCAAAGAATCATGCTCTGCCTTAAATTATTTATCTCACTATTATCCAGGGACTATTTCCAAGGAAGACCACTCCCTGCTCTGCCTAAAATATAGCTTGTTCTGCTTGCCTTCACTCGGTTTGGAGGAAATAGGCCTTTGGTTGCTCTTATATACTCATTTTCTTCAAAATAAGAATATAAATATTGCAGGCTTTTTACCTAGATTGTATGGTTTAGGATACAGAGTTTGTTCTGCTCTGAATGTGCAAAACACTTTACACAGTGTCTGACTGGAGTTGTTAGAAACCACTGCAGTAAAATGTAATAAAGAAAAATATAACACTTTGCAAGGGTTTTAGTGACTATAAAAAAAAAATCAGGGTATAGAGAACTGGTTGTTTTTCAGGTGTCGTGGATTCTCTTGAGATAAATTGATTTTCTGGTGAAGTAAAACACATTTTCTTAATAACTACTACCCTAATTGTAACACCTGACTTTTTGAACAATTTAAATTGTACAGCTTTTCTCTTAGAATCAGAGTAGTTTGGGTTGGAAGGGACCTTTAAAGGTCACATCTACTCCAACCCCCTCCCGCTGCAATGAGCAGGGACATCTTCAACTAGATCAGGGTGCTCAGAGCCCTGTCCAGCCTGACCTGGATGGGGGCATCTACCGCCTCTCTGGGCAACCTGTTCCACTGTTTCACCACTGTCATTGCAAAAAAAAAATAAAAGTCTTCTTTATATATAGCCTAAATCTACTTTCTTTTAGTTTAAAACCATTACCCCTTGTCCTGTCGCAACAGGCCCTGCTGAAAAGTTTGTCCCTATCTTTCTTATAAGCCCCCTTTATGTACTGAAGGGCCACAATAAGGTCTCCCTGAAGCCTCTAAGGTTGAGACCCCTACCACCTCTCTGGGCAACCTGTTCCAGTGTCCCACCACCCTCATTGTAAAGAACTTCTTCCTAATGTGTAATCTAAACCTACCCTGCTCTAGTTTAAAACCACTGTCCTTTGTCCTATTGCTAAATGCCCTTGCAAACAGTCCTTCCCCAGCTTTTTCATCCTATTGCTAAATGCCCTTGCAGACAGTCCTTCCCCAGCTTTCTTGTAGGCCCCCTTCAGGTACTGGAAGGCCGCTATAAGGTTTCCCTGGAGCCTTCTCTTCTCCAGGCTGAACAACCCCAATACTCTCAGCGTGTCCTCACAGGAGAGGTGCTCCAGCCCTCTGATCATTTTTGTGACTCTCCTCTGGAACCACTCTAACTGGTCCTGTGCTGAGGACTCCAGAGCTCTTTACTTTTCTGAAGTCTACTTTTCTAGACTAAAAGAGAAACCAGTTATATAAAACCATGACATACAAAGTAGCTTGGATTTTATACCAGATTTACCTTTTCATTAGTTTTTTTCATTAATTCTTCAGCCTCTTCATTTGCATTTTTTGCTTTTTGGTGTTGAGCCTCCATTTTCTTCCTAGTTTCCAGATTACATTCAGCTGTTAAAGCCACCATCTTCCTTTCATACTCTTCTTGAATCTCTTTCTCCATTGCAAGGAACTGCTTTTTGAAAATTGAACTCATCCTCTTCTCCACATGAGGAAAGAGGCTGTGACTTAAGACCATGTTCTTCATCATCATAGCGATCACTTCTTTACACATCTGCATTCGATATGCCTCCAGATCAGCATCTGCCCGCGTCAGGCTGGCGACCTCCAAGCTGCAAAAAGGCAATCAGAACTGTTTGAAATCACAGATTACAGGAAATTTCTATCAGAAATCAAGTATTCATTCAATATTGGGTAAGTGAATGGCAGTCAGAGAAGTGCACAAATGTCACAGAATATGAGTTTACTAATCATGACAGAAATCCTTCATTAAAGCAAGGCGAGCCAACATTAACTACAGCAAGTTTAATGAAGAATGTCCATTCTTGCATTCCATTTTAGACAGAAAAAGGAAAAGTTTTTCTTTAGAACTCAAAACATTCCCTCAAGTTTAAAAGTAAACAAAAACTTCCTACAAAAAAACCTCCCTCTGTTGGGAAGCAGATGAAGTGAATATGTGAACAGACTAGAAATTTCACCGAGTTTGTAAAATAGCTCTGAACTCACTGACCCATCTTCACTAATACATCACTGCTCTGTGTTCTGCACTGCTGTATTCCCTTCTCTGCAGGGAAGAGGGGAGAGTGTTTTGATTATGTGCCGATACAAATAAATTAAAAAAGCTGGTATCTCTCTCTCTTGTGAACTTTTAATAGAGTTCTAGATAAGAGATTAAAACCAGAGGGAAATAGAAGATTTTTTACAAAATGCAATAAATAGCATATTGCATATGAACACATCCTCATTTATTTTTAGTGTTCATTAAACTGGAATGATAATTAATCTCATTTCATACAGTACAAAACTACTGTAAATTCTATAGCTGTGCATATTCTGCACTCAATTCAGGTTTGGAGAATTAGGTGGTTTTTTCCCTTGCATGTCAATTTACATGAACACACAGCACTGTATGCTTCTCTATTTAGATTAAGTGTACAAGAATTTCTTTGTGACCTACAAAATACACTTGTAAGAGCTTAAATCCATTCTTTTTTCAGTTAAGCTAAATTATTGTTTTGCTTTGTTCCATAGTCAAATTTTAGAATTTATTTCAAATCCATAGCAAAGGTCTTGGCAAGATTTGCAAAACTGAATGATAATACATTCAGAATGGTATATATCAAAGCATGCAAATCTATAAATACTTCACCTTTTTGTCAAATGAACTTTCCTTATGTAAGCATATAAAGTTTTACCAAGAAGTAAATCAGTGATACATTATCACCACTGTCCCTCTGTCAAACACAAGTGATGTATTTTTCCCATTTAGAAATCAATGGGATGGAATTAAGTTGTTTTCTTACCATGAATCAAATACTTGGAAGTATTTAAGAGACATTAGTTTAAGCTATGATCATTGATCACAAAGAGGCAGAGAGATTTGTCTGTTGCAGTCTCTCGAAACCCCCAAAATGCACTGGTGATGCCCGTATTTGTCTTGGTGATCTGCTCCAGGGCTGGCTGGCTGCAGCTGCAAAGCCTCCTCCTCCTCCCATTCAGGAGCAGGAATCACTGCTGTATGGGGCCAGAGCCTTGGGACCGAAACACTGTGGGACCAAAACATTCTTCACAGTCATGATGTAAGAGCTAATATTTTCAATAATGACCCCAAGCCAACACAAGAATCCAGCTTCTCTGTGCTGTGTAGAGATCGACATCGCAGGACAGCACCTGAAGGTACGTAGCCTTCTCGGGTGGTGTTCAGCTACATCCATGGTCAAGTCCCCCAGGGTGCTGACCTGCTCCCTCTGCTTGAGGAGAGTCCACTTCAGGACAGTGGGGCAGCCACAGAGGATATGCAATGGCAGGCCCAAGGGAACAGGATGCTGAAGCAACACAGCAAGCACTTCAAAAGGGCACCGCAGATGTGTGTTTTCTCTTAAGCCTGTCTGTTTACAGAAGTCCTTGGACTTTTGCTGACATTGCCAGCTGGTACTAAGCTGTTTACTTACGACAACTAACTTCAGAAAAATAAGTGTTTCAGTTTTGTGAAAATGCACTTAAGTAAAAAGATGGATCCAGAAAATGGGAGCTTTATGCTATGACATTTCCCTAATGACTGCCCGGCAGTGGTAGGAGGCTCCCCTTTGTAGATTCACCAATTTATTATCAGTCTGTAAAATCCAAGCCACTGGATTTATTTTTCTGTTTTGATTCCTGCTTCAAGTCTCCAGTAGCTCTGATTTAATTGAAGCATATCTGTCTTCTGTGAGAAACATCTCATCCTGGTTTTCAAGCATCCCCTAATAGAGAACTAAACAACACTTTAATTAATTGCTCCACTTGATAATTCCTTTAAGACCTAAAAATGGTCACCTTACCCTCAGCTTGAATTTGATTAGTTTCAACTTTCAACTTTCTTTCTTTGCTGGAATAACAAGTTTCTTAGTCATTATTTTTCTGTTCTTCACGCGTGCATTGATAGATGGTGGTCACAGCATCTACTAACCCTTTCTTACTGAAGTGTGAAAGACTGAATTCCTCCTCTCTCTCCCTGGAAGGCAACACTTCACAGCTCGATCACGTTGATACATAGTTTGTAACACAACATTTATTTCTTACCACAAATGCAGGATTTTTTTCAGCATGCTTTGAAAAAAGAGTAAGCCACTCCTCACTTGTTACTTTTCCAGCCTTCTTCAGCAGTGATCCCAGGAACAAAGGTGAAAACCATCATCACAACATTTCCTATTGTTATCTTTCCCTCAGTCTTTCCCAGCATTTCTTCTTATTTACTGCAAGTCATTACAGACTAGACCCGATTTCATTTCGAGCAAAATTCCCATGCTCTTCTTGCCCTCAAAGAACTTTGCTACCGAACTAACTCCACTCCTCAAGATCAAGATGCCAAAAGCAGGAAGAGCAATAGGTGTAGTTCACCCGATGCTCAAGTGTCATCAAGCTAGTGATGAGGCTGCTAAGATCTCAGGTGTATCCAATCTGCAACTCTCACCCTCCTTTGTCCTGACAGCACATCTGTGAAGAAGGCAATGAAGCAGAAGCAGCATGTGAACTGTTCCACCAATCCATGGGTAATAGCATGAAGAAAAAGCAATTACAAGCCAAAGCTTTCCCTGATCACATCGTGGAAGACAGCAGCCAGACCACTACTTTTTTTTTTTTTTCAGTGGCAGCCAAAGAAAGGCCATGTCTGTAAAAATGTGAAATCTACCTTCCACCTGATATGCTCTGCTTCTGGTCTGCCTCACATGCTCCAGAAACCTTGCTTCAAGCTCTTACTCCAAATGAGAGGTTGAGGGCAGCCTTAACAAGCTGCATCAACACAGTCCTGGAGTCTTAGATGCCAACAGTCAGTACAAAACAGGAATCTTGTACATGTAATAAACCGAATGCTTTCAGACACAAGTCTATCAGAAGCACAATGCTTACACACTTCCAGATTAAACATGCAATGTTCTGTGACACCTACGGAAAAAAAAAATCCTAACCTGTGCCTCCTCAAACTGAGGTAGATTTAATAAGTTGCTTTAAATGCTCTGCACTCTGCTTGTTATGGCAATTCATGTTTAAAAGGTCTCACATCTCTTCCTGAGCATATTCAGCATAATAGAAACATGAAAGCCAATGAAGTACAGGTAGCAGATGGCAACCGACTGATGAAAAAGATCAAAGCTGCTGTTGGACAAAGCACGCAGAGAAGGGATGAGGGTAGTACAGAAGGTAGGCCGTACGAAAGTGTGGGGGGAGGAAAGGTGAACAGACACACAGAAAAGGAAACTGCAAACAGCAAGTGTAAAGTTTTTCACTCACTTGAAGAGGAAGAGGATTTAAAGATCTGTCAGAGAAGATCTGGGAGGGAAGAATCCCAGACGCCAAACACAGAGAAGCAGAGAGAGTGCCTGAGCATCTGATGTCCTCCACAAACCTAATAAAAGAATACAGGAAAGCAGCTAGGGTCAGGAAAGAAACAACTGTAGTTAATTTGAAATAAAACCACAACACAACACATCACAAAAAAGGAAACCTCTCATTAAACTACAAAATAATTGTGTCCTTAAGTCTTATTATTCAAATTAGAGGCCCACAGAGGGAAATTTTTGAACAAGAGAATTAATAGCTGCTGAATTTAACAGTCCTAATGGCTGACACATTTTAAAAACAAATCCAGAGTTCATAAAGGTAAGAAACTACTGTGATACCACTTTCTGAAGCCTAAAGGGGAGAAAAACGTCAAGCAAACTCCCCTTTGGTGACATTTTCTCACCAAAACATAAAAAGTCATCATTTTCATAAGACTCATCTCTCATCTGCGAATGGTAGCCAATTAGTAGCATCCATATTACAACAGCATCCCGAGGAGACCGGAGCCCTGTGGCAGCAGTTTCTGCAAAGGCATCCCTTTGTGATACACAATGCTCCTGAAAAGCGTGTAATTTAAGGCCATTTGTGGACCAGTTTGTCTCCACTGTCCCAGATGCCCCACTGCAGCCATCACTCGGAGCACCACGGCACAGCTGCTGCACCAACTCTTGCTGGAGAGAGGAACACAGCTGGGAAAGGACAGACAGACACACAACTGCCCCGAGCCCGGTGGCAATGGGACAGCTGCAGTGAGGAAGGGAAAAGGAGGACAAAAAGGAGGGAAAAGGAGGTCCGTGTTGCCTTGACACACTTCAGAGAAGTGGAGATGGAGAGAGAGTCTGAGAGGGAGAATCACACAGCCCAGACGTGAAACAGTCGGTGCCAGGGCTGGCAAACAGTAAGCGAAGAAAACCCATTCAATTATAACAGGCATCCAAGGTCTTCACTGCAGATGTGGCTGGCTTCCTAAATCATCCGTTTCTCAAGGGGTTAGTAATACAACATCAATAAGGTGGGTTGTGTTTTGTTTTCTTTCTTGTTTGGGTTTTGTTTGGTTTTTGTTTTTAATTGCTCTGCCAACACGGACCCTGTGTGCAGGGCTGCAGCTTCCTCCCTCCAGACTCTCCCTCCTTTTTTCCCCCCTCCTCTGCTTCCCATGCTCTCCTGCTGTGTCCAGTCACAACAGGGACCACAAACACTTCAGGGCAGAGATTTATGAGGTCTGAACGGCCACCAATGGCTACTGACTGCTCAAATTCTTCAGCCCCACCATGCCGGAGCGGGGCACGTT